GCCCCCCCCCCCCCTCCCCCCCTCCCGCGCGCGCAGGCACCACGACGAACCTGCTTGGTGACCGTGTGCAGCCTAGCCAGCGAGTTGCACCCTGTCGCCCTCAGGCCGTGCACGGGGCGCCGCCGGCCCCCCTGCTGGATGTGCTGTTCAAGCTGCTGCTGCTGCTGGACGCGCCTGCGGTGCTCCGTTTCGGATTCCGTCTCCTCCTCCGAGGGCTCTCCCCCCTGTCCCTGCGTTTCGCGGTATATACCGCGGGGTTTGTTCCGGAAGACACAGGCAGTGCGGGCCCGCAGAAAAGAAACGTCAAAATCGGGATGAGGCTCAGAGGCTCAGCTTCTTATTTCGTCGAGCACAGGTGGTTAGACATAGTTTGGTGTAAGGATCCACCGCAGAGCCATGTTTTCCTAGACCTATTTTCTATTTTTTCGTGAAAATATGAACCTCTCTTTCTATACTACGCAACTGCGGGCCCGTGCTGTATGTAGCAAACAGGGTCACCGACCGATATACATTTACAAAAGAGAAGACACAAAAGAGCACAGCAGTCACAAACACCAAGTCTCCAGCAGAAGCCACCATGCATGCCGGCCGTTGCATCAACTGCGGGCGCCTCTTCCTCGGTCTCTCTCCTCCAAGGTGCACAATGCAGACCCGCTGGTGCATGCTCAGGTCTTAAGGATGTTGCGGGACAGGCTGTCAGCTCATGGGGCTGGGCTGGGCGTAAAACCATTGCGCCACGACCGAGAACACTGGTCCCTGAGGGGTAGACGGATGTGTAGCTTGACACCGCCGAGAGAGAGGGCGGGCCTCAAACGTGGTGTGGGGCATCTTGAGTGGCGGCCTCTTACAACACGGGAGAAGACGCCGCAGTATACAAGTCGAAAAGTTTCCCCAAGGTATCAAGGTACAACTGCTGCGCACTAGCAACCTTCACTTCTCACCGCCAGGCCAACGGACAGCAGCATCTCCCGTATCGGTGGTATGCATATCGAAACACACAACTGCTGCGCAGTGTATCTACCAACTGTAAAAAATTTCTCACCGTCCGGCCAACGGGCGGCACCTCCCCTATCGGTGGTATCTAAACGTACAACTGCTTGTGCATAGCATCGTTAACTTTTTCTCACCGTCAGACCGACGGAGAGTATCTCCACTATCGGCTGCCGACCGGTGCCGCGCGCGTGCTCCGAGATCCAGCCGTGGCGGGTGCGGTAACGCATGACGCCGGCAGAGTTCGCCGCCCTGTAATGTCGTCGTCGTCGTTATCGTCATCGTTGTCGTTGTTCGGTGGCGGTTGTTGTTGTTGTTGCCATCATTGTGGTGGTGGTGGTGGTGGTCATGGTCGCCGTTGTCGAGCGGGACACATGAGCGTAAAAAAAAAAAAAAAAGGGGGAGAAAATGAAGGAGAACGGGTGGAGGAGGAAAGCGTGTTGGGCGTGCAAGCGGTACCGTGGGTGACACAAGATATCACACCCCTCCCTTGAACCGACTGCAAAAGCTGGCAGACTCAAAACAGCAGAGACGAGTGGAGGTGCCGAAAAAAGCCGGGAGGCGTTTGGAACCGTCGCGTCGAGGGCTATCTTTCCGAAAACGTGTCGTTCAATGTGTACACCTTAACCTTCTTCGACGCGGATAAATCGAGCTTTGACAAGCGGTCCGGGTGGTGTCTTATAACGCACGCCACGTGCGGTACGTGCGGTATCCCTCCAGGCAACCGCAAGTCGAACGCGACCAACAAAACACACGTCTAACACACAAGCGCCCTTCACGGGGTTCCAGCTCACGGCCTTCTTCAGCAGTATTTTCTGCGTTTAACCGCACCGAGACTTACGTCTTTTCATCGGTCAGCCGGTTCGCGTGGGCAATCTCCAACCAACACTAAAGACACACCCGGCACAAAACACCTAAAAACACAACGCGCGTATGTACCTCTCGTACGCCACGACCACCGTCCCGCACTCCACCGTGTGCACCGCCACGCTGCCGTCGCTGTCCAGCCCAGACCCGACCAGAGCCCCGTCCTGCGCCACGACGTTGATCCGGAAAAAGTCAGGCTCCGGCCAAGGCATCTCCGGCGGACAACCCCCACCCCCACCCCCGCCACCTCCGGCGGCCGGTGCGGCGGCGCTCGCGCCGTCCGTGGTTTGCTCTTTTCCCTCGGCGGACGGTGGGGCGGTTTGGTTTGCCGCTTCGAGGGTGCGCAGCCATGTCTGGTGTTCCGCCTTGGCTCGAGAAAACTGGCACAGGTTGGGGGGGTGGATGGAAAGCACGAGAGAGAGAGGGGTGGGGGGGGGAGGGACGATAGAGAGGAAGGGAGTATGTGAGAGAGAGAAACGGAAAGCAAGGAAATAGAGGGGGAAAGGGAGGGAGAGAGAGAGAGAGAGAGGAAGGGAGTGTGTGTGAGAGAGAATAAAAATGAAAATGAAAAAAGGACGCAACAGGAAGGAAGACAGGTGGGCAGGGCCGGCCAAAAAAACGGCAGGAAAGGAAGTAGGGGCGGTTACGCCAGCAAGCAGTTGTTTGCGTGGCGAGGCCATTATAACGCTTATTTGGACGGAGGATGGATGCATGATCGTGCCGAAAGGGGGGACTCAGGAAGGGGCGCTGGAAGGGTCCCCGACGAATGAAAAAGACGGGCACGACGGCGGTAGCTGCGCCGTTCTTTCTCGTCTCCACCGAGTACAGTCAGGTTCCGGGCGTGTGCAACGAGCCAATCCACCCACCCCATGTTGTAGCGGGCAACCCTGACATGTACCAGGATACGTAAAGACCACCTTGGTTAATTCTATCCGTGCCAAGATATGTTCGCCGTTTCACCCGCCAAGTACTGGGCACCTGCCCAATCAAAACAAAAAGATGCCAAGAGATTTCACACGCCACCCGCCCGGTGCATAGCCTACCGCTACAGAGGGACCAGGACCGCTGCATGGGGATGGTCGTGCCGTGCAACCCACACGAAGGTGAGACCTGCTGCATGTTACATACTTGGGTGCGACGGTAGCCCCCCTCCGGCAAGAGCGAGGTCAAGATGTGCTATTGGCACGGGTATCCGGCGACCATAAACAAAACCGCACACGAGACGCCCTCTCCGCTCCCCCCCCCCTCCCCACGCCGAGCAAAAACTACTACAATACAAGCCTGTGACAACACTAAAACCATTAGAAGCCTACGACAACACTTTGACGTATACTCCGACGACCTCGACTTGCACCACCCCCCCCCGCTCACCTCCATGAAAACGTTTCGGTGGAGCCTCATGAGCCGCTCGAGGACCCTGCGGCCGCTCCCGGACACGAGGATCGCCCCCCACCGGCTCGCCGCCTGCTGCCCCGCCGCCGTCTGCGCCCCGCGTGAGTGCGCCCACCGCGTTAGCAGCGTCAGCGCGCCCGCCAGCCACTCGGTGGCCGCCAGGCAGCGGAGGAGCCCCGACATGGCCTTCAACAGGGGCGGGAGCTCGTTCGGCGGCGCCGACCGGGAACCCGAAGACGAGGAAGAATGACCCTTGGGTCTCGTCTCACCGCCACCGCCGCCGCCGCCCGTCGTCCCGTCCTCCTCCGCCGGTAACACCGGCCACGCCACGTACACCGGCTCCCGCGGGATGCACTCCAGCAACCCCAACATGTCCAACTCGCTGCTGCTGCTGCTGCTGCTGCTGTCGGCGGCGGCGGCGCTGCCCTTCCCCGCCGCCGCCGGGGGTCCCTTCCCTTCTCCGGCGCCGGACATATCTACGTCGGAGTCGCCATCGCCGCCGTCTGCCGCAGCTGCCGCCGCCGCAGCAGCAGCAGTGGCCGCTCTTGTAGAGGCCGCCCTGTTCTTGCCCTTGCCCTTGTTGGACTTGGCCACGGACTTCTTGCTAGGCGATTTTACGGCGGTCGGCGGTGCTTCGCTGTCGACGTCCATGGCATCGCCGCCGCCGCCGCCGCCGGAGGACCCCGAAGCGGATGCCACGGCCGCGGACATACCCTGCCGGAAGGGGGTGGGCAGTAGCAACACGGACATGCGGTGGCCAAAAAGGATCAAGAAAACGCTTCATCGAGAACAAAGAGGAGGGTGGGGAAAACAATATTGACACCCGTAAAAAAGGTTCCATTCCCACAAAGGAGGCAAAAAACGATAAGCCGAGGGGGTGGGGGGGGGGGGGGGGGGGTCGAACCAAGCAACCTCACTATGTCTCTCACCCCCGCTTCCACGACCGCCCTTCCTGGCGGCGTCCAGCCTGTCCAGCTCCCTGTCCAGCGCCACCAGGACACGCTTCAGCAGCCGCGCCGTGTCGTGCGTGCCGAGGGCCTTCATCGCGCTCGTCAGCGCCTGGGAGGCGGCGTGGTTGGCCAGGCTGTGCTGCTGCGAAGAGGAGGACGACGACGACGAGGAAGACGACGACGTCGTACCGCCGCCGCCGCCCCCGCCGGCGCACGACGCGCGCGCCAACAGAGCCCTCGGTCCAGGCACCGCGAGCGAGAAGAGGGACAGGAGGACCTCGTCCCCGCCGGCGTCCGCGAAGGGCTTGGCGTTCTCGGGACGGCCGAGGGCGGACTCTAGGAGCTGCCCGAAGTTGGCGGCGTACTGCTGCATCAGCGTCCGCTCGTTGAGCACCTTTTTTTGGGGAGACACGATAACACGGGGGGGAGGGTACGGTTGCATCAGCGACCGCTCGTTTGAGCACCTGTTTTGTTCGATACCGCAAGAGAAGGCAAGGCAAGGCGAGGCACGGCGAGGCAAGGCAAGGCAAGAGACACACTTCACTTTACCTCCGCCGAGGAGTCGCCGGCGAGCTCTCTCTTCAGCAGCTCGTCCCCCTTCCCGACAAGCTGTAGGGAGCGGCGTAACAATTACAAATTCACGGAGAAAAAAAAGAAAAGAAAGGGGGGCGTTGTGGGAGGGAGGCGCGTTCGTGACTTGAGTGGGCATACCGTAGTGCTACAGTACGACCGCACGCCTCGCAGCTCTGCATACAAACGGTAAGGGGGGAGTGCGGGGAGATTTCGGCGACCAAGGGCCACCGCACAGCAAGCAGCAAGCGCGGAGGGAGTGGAGCGCCGTGAGGTAGGTGTTCGGCGAGTCCGCATCACACCGGAGGGGGGGGGGGGGGGTGAGGGGCGCATCCCCTACCCGGAACCGCTCTTAGGAGGCCGACTTCAGCACCTTCGTGCACATGGGGAGTCGAGGCCTAAAAATTGTCGCAAGACTTATTTCTCGGTGTCGCCCCTTCCAACAAGAAAACAAAAAACATGGGTGCTAAAGCGACCATCCCGTAGATTCCCGGTCGATTTCACCGAGGACTGGGGAGGGGGGTAGTAGGTTGGGATATGGTAATGCTCGAGCGCCAAGTGCTGCTGTTCAACTCACCTCTTTCAAAGACGAGACGAGGGCCTTGATACACTGGGGCCGAAGCGCCGGCACGTGGCGCATCAGCTCGTCGAGGCCCGCCCCCACCACGGACGTCATGTTTCCTTCGGGGTACCGTGACTGCGGGTGCATGGACTCGGGGGTGTGCAGCATGCGGAAAAACTGGACGACGACACAGATAGACGATCAACAGAGAGGAAACAGCGGAGAGAGGGGTGGGGGGGGGTGGCCAAGAGAGGGTCTTCCAGATCGTACAAGACGTGGCAACCCCTGTACACTTGACAGTAGTTGACAAATACAGATATGACACGAACACACACGGCAAGAACAACCGGCAAAGCCACCACCACCATTACCAACACTCCCACCACCAACTAGAGAGCAGCGGCTTATCACCTCTCCCCTGTAAGTGGGTTGAAAACGCGGAAAGTGATATCGATACAAGGCAGGGGGAAACATTTTTACCCACCTTTGGCAAATGTAGAAGGAACGATTGGTCATCG